ACTATACTATGGATCCAAACATTCACAGAACACTTTAAAAGATGGAGAGAGCTTCAGGAAAACCCTAGGCCAGTTCCAGCATGCACTAGGTCCTCCAAGTCGTGTTATCACCCAAGTGTTTAATTAGGGACCTTAGCAGCCAGACAGGAAGATCAGCTCTGGAATTTGCGGTCTGTTTCCCCAACCAAGGTGAATAGTAAGCTTTACCATATTTATTTGGCACACTTTGAGAAGAATATACTAAAGTGATTGACTAGCAAATCTTCAGGATGCATATAATATTTTAATGATCTGCATATGATACTGGAAACTTTCCTGTTGACATTTAATTATTTATATCTTGTGTTATTTTGGAAACTGCTATAAATATGGTCTAAGGTGGATGGGTGTTACAAAGGGGCAAAATTGTAACATATGCATTTGAGGGGAGAAATAAAAAATGTCCACATGCTTCTGTCCCTTTCATTGCTTTATTCACATAAATTACTCAATGGAATTTCACTCTATAGGTTCTTAAACAAGAAAATGACAATCCTTAATGCTGGGCACTGCAATAGACATAATGAATTCACAGCAGACAATTCTAGATTAATTAATTCACAGCAAACAGTTCTAGATTAATTCTAAGCTCTGCAAAACACACTTAATTATGACAGGCTAATGACAGACATTTCCTCTGCATAAGAAGTTCAAAAGTCTTAAGCCTTAGGCTTTATGTCCAGCACATGCACACTCACTCAGACCAAGATGACCAGATCCTGAACCAAGGCAGGCTTTTCCTGGCATGGAGTTGATGACCTGTGGAGGAGATGGTTTTAGGGAGAAGTTGTGGTTCTCACCAAGGTCCAGATGAGGCAGTAGAGTCTGAGAGCCATGAGGATCATGCAGAGGCTCAGGAAACAATTACAAGTGATAGAATGTCAGGTCCTCATTAGACTCTTCCACTCAAGTAAATCCTTATTTCATCTAGCTGAATCCCTGTTCATTTGCTCTATCATTTATACTAAATATTGGGGTTTTTGACCCCCCCCTTTAAATCCTTATCAGCTACCACTGGAATTCTCAGTGACATCATTTACCCTAGGGTCAGAAACATCTAACCTGGTGGCCTATATCCTG